TCGCAGCTGGACCTTTGCTGCAGCTTGGATTTCGCTGCGCTCTTCTCTGAGCATGCAGCCTGACCTGAGTCCCTGGCATCTCCCAGAGCACAGGAATGGGATGGATATCATCAGCTAATATCTCTGGGCTTCCTTGCTCCTGCTGGCCTGTCCCTCACGGTTCAAGATGAGCCCAGCCCCGGGAGGTCCAGAGCTCATCCCTGGCCCCATGGCAGTGTGTGCCATCCCCACTTTGTGTTGCCCCATAGGCTGTTTGCAGTAAGGTGCTTCCCAGATCTGTGCTGCTGCATCTCTGTTGTCCAGGCTCGTACCTCTGGGAGCTGGTTTCTGTTGGGAGCAGAAGCTGATATTTCTGAAGTGCCTGGTACACTTTGTCGGCTGTGGGATTGGCACCAATACCCAAACTCCCAGTGCCTGCTGCTCTTGGAAAACTGCTGTGAAAAGAGAGGAGATCAGTGTGTGTGTGTTTGTGTGCATGTGCGTGTGTGTGCATGTGTGTAAGAAGCATAAATCTATGTACAGACTTTAGTTTAAACACTTGGACCCTTTTAGGGCTGAGGGCAGAGTGTCTCTGGCAGGCTCTGGTGAAGCCATGTTCAGCTCAGGGCACTGCCCAGGTCCTCTCAAGTTCAGCTCCAGGAGAGCTGCCTTGTTGGGCCGATGCCTGGGCTGGAAGGGATAAAACCACTGCCCACAGCCTGCTGGCAATCTGGCTGCACGCTTCTCCCTGTCACGGGCACCTGCCTCAGTGTCCCTGGGGCCAGTCAGATTCCTCCACGACTTTTCGTGATCTGTCTCATATAATTTCTTCCATCTCTTTTTTTTCTCTCACAGCCTATCATGGCTATGCAATAAACCTAACATCTTGATTTATTTTTTTGTGTGCTCACTGATAATAAAAAGGAATTGTTTGTCTTATCTGCCTTGGGAGTGGTGTCTGAGAAGAGATGACCCACAGAGGGGGCAGGTACCGTTCCCATGCTTGCTATCTTGCATCCTTTCATCTGCCCAGACTGTGGTAGCTCAGGGGAGAGCACATGGGTGTTGCGGTCCCATGGCTTGGAGAGGTTTGGGAGTGGGGGATGCAACATGTGTGGATATCTGGAGAGGCAACTACTGCACGAGGTGTGCTAGGAGTGAGCTCGTTACCCACTAAGTCACCCAGAGAGCAAGGCAGGGTGTAACCTGAAACTGGGTTCCAGCTGGTCAGACTGGTTTGAGGTTTGGGTCTGAAGCCAAAAGCAGACACTATTCTTCGAACAGGAGTTGCTCTAGCTGTGTCTGGAGGCTGGTGATCGCTCAGGCACCACAATGTAAAGTTAGCTAAATGTAAATTTGGCTAATCGGCAATGGATATGTATGGGAAACAGGCGAACCTGCCCCTGCGTCACTGACCTGGCAGTGTTGGGCCTCCAAATGCTGCTGCACAGCGGGAAGGCTTTCTCCCCTGAGCTCTGCTCTGGATTGTGGGCTTTGCTCTGTCACTACCACCTCTCTCTTTGCCCACTCTACACCAGCTCTCCCATCCCGCCCTTTCCAAGTACTTATGTTTATGTTGTCCCCCATGTACCCTGAAGAGCAGCCGCAGGAGCAACTCTCTGCTGAGCCGTGCTTTGCTCAGCTGATGCAGTCACCAGTCCCAGCACCGTGCGAGTAACACCTGGCATGAGAGTGCTGTTTGAAACTAAGTCTGCTTCTCTCGATAGTCTCCAAAGAGAGAAGGTGACATGTATTACAGTCTCCTTCACTTAAAGCACATCTTTGTTAGACATGGCCCTGGTGGAGTCTGCAGGTCCAGCCTGAGCCCCCTGTTTTGCTTTGCAGCTTGCAAAGCACTTTCTCCTTCTGCCCAAAAAGCCGGAGGGCAGGGAAAGGGGGCTTGGTGGCCAGCGAAGGGGCCAGACCCTGCTCCCTATTGGCACCCGGCAGGCACCCTCTCCTCCAAGGGGAGCTGCTGCTCCTGCTGCTCAGTGGGGACAGGGACTGTGAGGAGTGCCACCATCTCGGTACAAGGCAACCCAGGGCGGCTCAGACATGCAGCTGGCACTGGGGCCAGGCCCAGGCCGCGATGCCGTGCCGCACACCCACACCTGCAGGTGCACGCCGGGGTCTGCATTCCCCAGCTTTTACTGTGTGGGGTCACTTGGGCTGTGCCAGCAGCTCCCGCGTGGGGCGGCTGCGGACAGGCCCTGCACCCCTGTGTCCCCCTGGGCCTCCCACCCGCCTTCAGCCATCGCACCCCTGACAGAAACAAGGGGTTCTGCTCTGTGGGAAATCCCAGCTCTTTCAAATGGGTTTGGTTTTCAAACGGGAATGGGAGCCCAGATTTTGAAACTTTCTGCAAAATGAAGATCCTTCTCCTCAAAAACCAGAACTGAAGGCTGCCTCGCTGCCAGCTGATTAAGAAACATTTTTTGGTGAAAACTGCGCTGCCTTGCTTCACTGGCTGTGCCTGACAGTGAGCAAATCCTTATGATTCCCCCAGCTGTGGCCAGAAACAAGCAGTTATGTGAAGTGTTAGTCGTTTATGGGCAGAGCTGCTCCTCCTGGCATGGAGGTCCCCATTGTGTCCCTACTGAGCCCGTCACCCCAGCGCAGCTGCTTTGTGGTACGGGAGGCTCCTGGGGGGCTGAGGTTGGTCCCTTGTCCTTGCAGTAGTTGCTGGCAGTGTTTTCCCCACTGAGGTCAGTGGTTTGTATGGTTTACAGAGCCAAGCTCCTGCCAGGCCTCGGGAGCTGCTGCCCACTGTGCTGCTCCACCAAGGGAAACCTGCTGTCTGTTTTCAACCTGCTACCTGACTTGTTGGTGGCCTCCACCTGGGCAGAAGAAAGACCATCAAGCCTCTCATCCCTTCCTGACCAGCAAAGTTTTTGACCCACCTTGCTCGGACTGTCGGGAAGGAGGGCTTGCCTGAGCTTTTGGCCGAGTTAATCCCAGCAGGCTGGAGAGGAACCCTCAGGCTTTGTGTGGCTGCAGGGCCAGGAAGCATTAGCTCACAGCTAAATATCGAGTGTCTCCAGCTTCCCCATGGCACAATGGCTCTACAAATAAACACAGCAGCTGACCCAGCATGACAAGGGATGGCTCCATAGTGCCAGGCCAGAATATTGTCCCCTGCACAAAAGCCACAGTGATGTGATACTTTCTGATAAGTTACTTTAGCTCTCCAGCCTAATTTATTGCTTAAGGAAGCAATTATTTTGGTTTTGAGGTCAAACAGGTCATTCACGTTAAAAAGAGAGCTCTAAAGCTGGGGGGAAGAAGGAACAGAGTTGTCTACAAGCTCTGCATAAATCTTGAATGTTGTTTCCTCCTCCCTCACTGCAAGTGTTAGGAATGACCAGGCTTGTTCGTACTGAAGTGTGCTTCGAACTCCCAAACGGACATGATGCTGATGTGAAGTGCCACAGCTAGTCCAGCACGTGGTAAGCAAACATTGCTTGCTAAATTAGTACTCGTGTGGGAAATAGCCTGTCAAAACTTTCCAGACACTCTTTTTTTTTCTCCTTGAAAAAATGGAGAGAGAAATTGGAAATACTCTCCCTCGGTTATCAAGCACAGAACTGCATGTTACCGTAATAGCTTATAGTCACAGAGAAATAGAGTCAGCTATAGATACTAACAGCAGTTCTGATCTCTTCTGCAGCATGTAAAAGGGCATAGAGGAACCTTTCTGCAAGGAAACTTGGCTGACCAGTGTCATAGGGAAATTAGTGTTTCCTGGGCAAGGTGCCACCTGAGGTGTGACAGAGTTTCTGTGGCCCTTAGTCAATTGTTGCTTCTCTGAGATGTCCTCATCTCCAGCTGTGTCAGGATTTTTCAAACACACCATCAGTTCCTGTAACAGCTCTAGGAGATTTGACGGAGGCCAGACCAAACATTTAATTACCCTCTTCGCTAAGTTGCCCAGAGCCAGCCTACATGAGAGGATATACAAAATGACAGCAAGCAGCTGACAGGACCTGCACAGGCCAGGAGCTCTGCTGGAGCCAGCCAGGTGCTCCGGCAAGAAGAGGGGAAATTATCCACAAGTCTCGGTGCAGACAAAGTGTCTGTGTCTTTGTTCTCTGTCCTGACACACCTGACCTACATGCTGGCTGCTTCAGGGTTGTTAAAAAGTATTTGTGACCAGTCTCCAAGTGAAGCACTGGCCAAGGAATTTGAGCTGCCGGGACTCCCCCATCCAGAAACTCTTCTTTAAATTAAATGATGGTGTCCTTCTCACGTAAGCATCGTGGGAGCCCTTCCCTCCCCCAGCTGCATCCCCAGGGGGGACTCGAGCTCTGCTGCCTGCGTCCTGCCTGCGCCTCCACTGCCGGCTAGGGGCTGCACTGCTTTTGATTCATTATGGGGTTATTGTTCAGCCAGAGC